GTACTAGCAGTTTATATTTACATACGTGCATTACATCTATATGCAATACTTTTAGCAGATATTGTTTAAAAGTTTGGGGTCTGTAATTTTTTTAATGTTTTTGAAAGAAGTCTCTTCTGCTCACCAAGGCTGTATTATTTGAACAAAAATACAGTAAAAACGGTGATATAGTGAAATATTTTTGCAATTTAAAATAACAGCTTTCTATTTGAATGTAGTTTAAAATGTAATTTATTCCTGTGATGCAAAGCTGAATTTTCAGCATCATTACTCCAGTCTTCAGTGTCCCATTTATGACTATGATCAATGCTGAAAACAGTTTTTTGTGTGGAAACTAATTCTTTAAACAGAATCTTTTGAACATTATAAATGTCTTTACTGTCACTTTTGATCACTTTAATGCATCCTTGCATAATAATAATAGTAAGAATTAACATTTGTAAAAATTAATCTTACTGACCCCAAACTTTTAAATGCTATAGTATGCATTTAAAATATACACCGATTCAAAAATATTGATGTCTAATTGTGAATATGTGCCCAATAACATGATAACACCACATAAATTGGATTGCAACATGAACTAAATTCTATTAATACATCAACACAAAAAACATTTTTAGGGTGATACTAGAAGGTGTGAGACAACATTTAGCAACAGATCTGGATGCTTGAGCAGTTAACACTCTATTCCGCTTTAACTGTACTCACCAACTACTATAAACATGCAGGGTTCACACTTCTTCAGGCATCTGCTATATCAGCCTCTCACACACTCAGGCTCCTGTAACCATGACAACACCTCGAGAGAGAAACAGCACTATCATCCTCTATCAGAGCTCAGAAGGACAGAAAACAGCCAGCACACATCTGATGCATTATAATAATGCTGACGGCTGAGATGATGAGAAATAAAGTCGAGGGTGGGTGACACGATCTGCCGAAACGATTTCAACCTCGTAAACGCGAGCACGAACACACAAACACATGATTTTCAAAACACAGTATATGTATAAAAAAAACCCTGTCAGACTTCAAATCGAGGCTCGTGAGATTTTACGTCGCGAACCGAATTCGTAGGAACTCTAAAAGGGAAGTAAAATTGCGAAATGTGGTGAAATGTGTCGTTTCTCACCTCACTGTCCTCTGAATGCGACCATCAGCAGCAGCAGCAGCATCAGCATCCGCATCAGCATCAGCAGCAGCATCAGCATCCGCATCCGCATCAGCAGCAGCAGCAGCATCAGCAGGTGCGGGAAGAGAGAAATCATCAGCATTTCATCAGTCAAACAGAGCAAAAACTGAGTAAAACAGCGCCAGCCTCTGTGTCATTACCGGATTTCATCATCCTGCTCTTATATCGGATGTTGGTGGTCATGTTTCAGGCCGTCTTTGCTCTGCTCGGGATCCGTCTGTCTCACGCTCAGCATCAGCATCAGCATCAGCAGCAGCATCAGCATCCGCATCCGCATCAGCAGCAGCAGCAGCATCAGCAGGTGCGGGAAGAGAGAAATCATCAGCATTTCATCAGTCAAACAGAGCAAAAACTGAGTAAAACAGCGCCAGCCTCTGTGTCATTACCGGATTTCATCATCCTGCTCTTATATCGGATGTTGGTGGTCATGTTTCAGGCCGTCTTTGCTCTGCTCGGGATCCGTCTGTCTCACGCTCAGCCCCGCTGGGAAGCCCAGGCGTAGAGGGGCGGGGCCGCCGCAGACGAGACCACGCCCACCAACACGTCACTCATCGACACAGCTGACAGGACTCTATAACAGTGCCGTTTAATGTAACTTTGGCAAATAAAAATGCTTTAATTGTGAAAAGATAAAAATCAGCTTGGTTAAAATATTCAGAAATTAAAATCATTACAAACAAATATACATAAGGTTAAATATATATATATATACAGTGGGTACGGAAAGTATTCAGACCCCCTTAAATTTTTCACTCTTTGTTATATTGCAGCCATTTGCTAAAATCATTTAAGTAAATGTTTTCCTCATTAATGTACACACAGTTTCATTATATTAAATCTGTAGTTTTATGCATATTAAATCTAGTTTTGTAGTACTTGTACAAATAATAATAATACATTTTATGTAATGGCTCTTTTCAAAACACCCAAGGTCACCTCACAAGCAAGCAAAGATAAAAATAAATACAAATCACTACACAATAAAAAACACAACAAACAGTCCACATATACAGATAAAGTGCAGTAAAGACTCGATAAAACATTATAAGAAAGCCTGTATAAAAAGATATGTCTTAAGACGCGTTTTAAAAGTCAGCAGGCAATCGCTGTTGCAAATGATATTCAAGGCTTTTATTAAAGAATTTGCTTTATTAAATCAACATTTTAAATGTAGCTAATTTTAAAATTACATAAAAAATATACAGGTACATCCAATAAAAATAAGCTATTTTTTGGTGTCAATTAATTTTACATTCTTTAATAAAAACACATTTTAAATTTACCTTGAAAATGATCTAAAAAATGAAATGTTTACATTTAGTTAAAACATAAGCTATATTTAGTGTCAATTCATTTTACATTTAATAAAAAACACGTTTTAAATTTACCTTGAAAATTATGTAAAAATGAAATGTTTACATTTAGTAAAAAAATTATTAATTATATGTCAATTAATTTGACAGTTTCAATAAAAATAAAATACATTTTAAATGCCCCTAATTTTAAAATGATCTAAAAATGAAAAGTTTATATTAAGTATATATATATATATATATATATATATATATAAAAACTATATTTGGTATAGTTTTTTTTAATTATAAATAAATCATTATATGCATATGATTTGCAGGGTCAATGAAACTAGTCAAATATGGTGAATGAAAAAAAGCATTGTTGAGCAAAACATTATTTATGGTGTACAAACAGAAATGTTTTCAAAACCATTTCTGAGACTTTATGCTTGCAGGAAACTAAAGCGTTCAAAACAAATGACTCGGAAAGTTATTTATTTCTCAACATGAGCAAATACAAAAAGGAAGATGTAAAACAGGGAAGTAAGCATTACTGTACCGCGCAACTGTGTTAATGCTTTAAAAAAGGCCTAAACAGGAGATAACCGAGTCAAAATAAGTGGGCTGAACCACAAATACAACAAAACAAAATCAGTGTGTTTACAGCAGACATTACATTAATAATTAGCAAATAACTCCCTAAAATGCTGTAAAATGACTCGGACATCGATGTGCAGGCAGTGATGGTGCGTTTCAGTCCGTTTCTTAGACCTTGTACCGTTTAGATGAACTTTAAAAACATACACTTATAAATGTTCCAGCTGCTAAACAAGAAACATAAAGATCACTGCGGTAGATGTTTAAGTAGTAAATAAAGTGAAAATCAAGCAATAAAAAAATGATAGAAAACAATCCCCAAACCATAAGAATATAAGTATAAAAGAAGAGAAATGTGTGCACCATGTCTCTAAATGGAGTTTTAAGGCATTTCTGTGAATCAAAATACAAACCAACAGCTGAACCAGTGCGTCCACAATAAACACATAACTTTACCGTCATTTTACTAGATTCACACTCTCCAAGTAAGAAAGGTGAACAATATTTTCTGCGCCACTTTATTAACCGATTTCCCTTTCAAAAAGATGATCAGATATCGCATCATTGACAAAACGCAAACAGGATGTCAAGAGATTGTCCAATTGTAGTCTTAGTATTTTCATGATCCAATCTGGCAAAATGTAGTTTAATGTGCTTTCTATTGTACATCAGGTTGTTTTTCTATATAGTCCACTAGAGGGAAGTGCTGCCCAATGCAGCGACCACTTTTTCAAAGACAAGTCCAACAAACTCTGATATGAATTCATGTCTGTGTGACTATATGATGATTATGAACAGGTACATTTTCGAAAATTGTAAACTTGACCAGGTGCATCTTACCAGTGCATCGTCCTCTTATTTTATCCCATGCATCCGCAGTCAAAGTATAATATATATGCTTTATAAAGTATTGTCGAGGTGATCAGGTAAACATATGCCAGTCTGATGCATGACTGGTACAAGCCAAGCAGTTTAAAAAGAGTGTTTGGCACAGAAAAACATCTAGTCTCCAGCTGACCTCAAACCCTGATCAATCTACAGATGAACATATGCTGAACATTGTCAATGAAACCATGATTGACTACCGGTGATATAAATTATTAACAGGATCTAACCTGACTGATTAAATGACATGATAACGGACCCTTCGTTTCAGTGTTGAGGTTATTCGTATGGGCGGAGCTGCGATAGTGATGTGGTTATATGAATTAGACGACATTAACATTACGTTCCATTAATCTGATAAACATGAGGGATTGGACAAGCAAATAGTGTTTAGAAATGGGCAGGATAATGTAACCTCCAGTCAGATGGCACTTCCTGTTCCCACAATACACAAATAGACACACAAACACACACTTAGTCGTCTCCTGGTTTTATCTTCATCTGAGCTTGCATCTGAGCAATCATCTGCTGCATGCGTCTCAGCTGCAAGAGAGGAAAAACAGTTAGAGAGACTGTTTCTGCATGTTTCACCTATAAATATATATATAGAAATATACCAGTAAAATGTTTGGAATAATTACGATTTTCAATGTTTTTAATAGAAGTCTCACAAGGCTGTATTTCTCTGATCAAAAATACAGTAAAACATTAATGTTGTGAAACATTACAATCTAAAATAACTGTTTTCTATTTAAATATATATTGTAAAATGTAATTTATTTCTGTGATGCAAAGCTGAATTTTCAGCATCATTCCTCCAGTCTTCAGTGTCACATGATCCTTCAGAAATCAGTATAATATGCTGATTTGCTGCTCAAGCAGCACTTATTATTATTATTATCAGTGTCAGTTGTGCCGCTTTATGTTTTTTGTGGAAACTGTGACACACTACTATTCAAAAGTTTGGGGTAAGTATGATTAAATATAAAAACTATATTTGGTATAGTTTTTTTTAATTATAAATAAATCATTATATGCATATGATTTGCAGGGTCAATGAAACTAGTCAAATATGGTGAATGAAAAAAAGCATTGTTGAGCAAAACATTATTTATGGTGTACAAACAGAAATGTTTTCAAAACCATTTCTGAGACTTTATGCTTGCAGGAAACTAAAGCGTTCAAAACAAATGACTCGGAAAGTTATTTATTTCTCAACATGAGCAAATACAAAAAGGAAGATGTAAAACAGGGAAGTAAGCATTACTGTACCGCGCAACTGTGTTAATGCTTTAAAAAAGGCCTAAACAGGAGATAACCGAGTCAAAATAAGTGGGCTGAACCACAAATACAACAAAACAAAATCAGTGTGTTTACAGCAGACATTACATTAATAATTAGCAAATAACTCCCTAAAATGCTGTAAAATGACTCGGACATCGATGTGCAGGCAGTGATGGTGCGTTTCAGTCCGTTTCTTAGACCTTGTACCGTTTAGATGAACTTTAAAAACATACACTTATAAATGTTCCAGCTGCTAAACAAGAAACATAAAGATCACTGCGGTAGATGTTTAAGTAGTAAATAAAGTGAAAATCAAGCAATAAAAAAATGATAGAAAACAATCCCCAAACCATAAGAATATAAGTATAAAAGAAGAGAAATGTGTGCACCATGTCTCTAAATGGAGTTTTAAGGCATTTCTGTGAATCAAAATACAAACCAACAGCTGAACCAGTGCGTCCACAATAAACACATAACTTTACCGTCATTTTACTAGATTCACACTCTCCAAGTAAGAAAGGTGAACAATATTTGCTGCGCCACTTTATTAACCGATTTCCCTTTCAAAAAGATGATCAGATATCGCATCATTGACAAAACGCAAACAGGATGTCAAGAGATTGTCCAATTGTAGTCTTAGTATTTTCATGATCCAATCTGGCAAAATGTAGTTTAATGTGCTTTCTATTGTACATCAGGTTGTTTTTCTATATAGTCCACTAGAGGGAAGTGCTGCCCAATGCAGCGACCACTTTTTCAAAGACAAGTCCAACAAACTCTGATATGAATTCATGTCTGTGTGACTATATGATGATTATGAACAGGTACATTTTCGAAAATTGTAAACTTGACCAGGTGCATCTTACCAGTGCATCGTCCTCTTATTTTATCCCATGCATCCGCAGTCAAAGTATAATATATATGCTTTATAAAGTATTGTCGAGGTGATCAGGTAAACATATGCCAGTCTGATGCATGACTGGTACAAGCCAAGCAGTTTAAAAAGAGTGTTTGGCACAGAAAAACATCTAGTCTCCAGCTGACCTCAAACCCTGATCAATCTACAGATGAACATATGCTGAACATTGTCAATGAAACCATGATTGACTACCGGTGATATAAATTATTAACAGGATCTAACCTGACTGATTAAATGACATGATAACGGACCCTTCGTTTCAGTGTTGAGGTTATTCGTATGGGCGGAGCTGCGATAGTGATGTGGTTATATGAATTAGACGACATTAACATTACGTTCCATTAATCTGATAAACATGAGGGATTGGACAAGCAAATAGTGTTTAGAAATGGGCAGGATAATGTAACCTCCAGTCAGATGGCACTTCCTGTTCCCACAATACACAAATAGACACACAAACACACACTTAGTCGTCTCCTGGTTTTATCTTCATCTGAGCTTGCATCTGAGCAATCATCTGCTGCATGCGTCTCAGCTGCAAGAGAGGAAAAACAGTTAGAGAGACTGTTTCTGCATGTTTCACCTATAAATATATATATATAAATATACCAGTAAAATGTTTGGAATAATTACGATTTTCAATGTTTTTAATAGAAGTCTCACAAGGCTGTATTTCTCTGATCAAAAATACAGTAAAACATTAATGTTGTGAAACATTACAATCTAAAATAACTGTTTTCTATTTAAATATATATTGTAAAATGTAATTTATTTCTGTGATGCAAAGCTGAATTTTCAGCATCATTCCTCCAGTCTTCAGTGTCACATGATCCTTCAGAAATCAGTATAATATGCTGATTTGCTGCTCAAGCAGCACTTATTATTATTATTATCAGTGTCAGTTGTGCCGCTTTATGTTTTTTGTGGAAACTGTGACACACTACTATTCAAAAGTTTGGGGTAAGTATGATTAAAAAAAGAAAAAGACAAAAGTACTTTTATTCAGCAATTCTGCATTAAACTGATCAAAAGTGACAGTAAATACATTTTTCTATTTCAAATAAATGCTGTTTTTTTTACTTTCCATTCACCGAAGTTTGGTTTCCCACATAAATATTAAACAGCAACATTGAGAACCATTATTAGTAATTGAGCACTGATAATAATTGATAACTGAGGAGCAAATCAACATACCAGAATGATTTCTGAAGATCATGTGACACTGAAGACTGGAGTAATGATGCTGAAAATTCAGCTTTGATCACAGGAATAAATTACATTTGACCATATATTAGAAAACAGCTATTTGAAATTGTAATAATATGTCACAACCTTACTGTATTTATTTATATATCACTTTAATATGTCATCTGGTTCAATGCATTATAAATTTATCCAGCTAAATGTGTGTTTGTGTATTTTCACACGTTAAAGCACAAACTCTAACATTGTGACTTTGGAACACCTCATGAAGATCCAAGATGGACACGTACACATAAACACAGTAGTGAAACATAAACACAATTACCCAGCAGTCTCTAATTAAGGTCTAATCACAACAATCATGATAATTAGAGAACATACTGTATACAACTGCTCCTCTAAATACATCACTGAAGATGATGCTTAAAACTCACTCATGTTTGTTGTTTTTATAGAGAGGTAATGCTATTTTCTATCCTTTAAACATACCCTTTAACCCTCCCTTTTCAATATTAAGATGTTGGTTAGTAGGTTTATTGATCTGTTTCCCTCTTTCTCTCCATAATGTAGCTGATTTCAGGTTTTACTATCTTTGTGGGGACATTTGGTAGATTAAACCTGTAAAAACAGGCACACTCTTTACATTGCAAGCGTTTCTGTACGTTCTGCCCTGCAGGAAGTAGATGTCATTTCCTGTGCAGACATGGATGTTTACAAACTGCTCTGATTGCGTCCACGCCCGACTGCGATAGACATTCCCATAGGCCAGAATACCGCACACTAATTAAACACAACATATTTATACAGATAGATAGTAAGAAACTTCTAGTCAGTAGCCAAAATCCCAAATTCATATGCATATACATTGTGACCCACCTCAGCTTCCTTCTCCATGAGGATCTGGTCTTTGTCCAACACATCTTCATCAGCCGCCCTGCGGGAACACAGAGTACACCAAACGTTCACTCACAGATCCGTTCACGTACAGGATGATGATCTGCGACTGGGTTTATTTGTTGATTTGACATACCTGCCAGCTCGCTTTAGTCTTTCTGAACGGAAGTTCTCATAGTGGAGATCTTGAGTGACTTCCTGCAGGTCCTGCATGTGAGTTCTACACACACACACACACACACACACACACACAGAGAGAGAGAGAGAGAGAAACACACAGGTATCTTCAGCAGAGGGCACTAGAGAACAACTGGAGAAATCAGCCCAACAATCACAGAAAAACTGCCTTAAGATAGCTGTATAGTTAGACATGACCATCCAGGTCATATTTCACACCAAAATCAAAGGAAAGAAATAAGAAATTAAATGTATGCATAAAAACATTGAAGCATATTTTACCACCAATAGAGTTTTTTCAAGAAGACGTTATAATTTTTACAATTAAGCACATTTCCCTCAATTTATTATTAATGAAGAACAAGAAACCCGTACATTCAATCATATTATTTAAAATATATAAATTTAGTATAAATTTAATATAAATAAAGTTATATTTTTGATCAAATAAATTAAAGCCTATTTTGCCATCAATTGTTTTTTCATTGAGACATTACATTCAGATAATTAAGCACATTTTCCTCAAGTTCCTATTAATGTAGCTAACAAAGACCCTACACTAATTCATATTATTTAAAATATATATTTAAATATATATATATAAATTTATATAAAATAAGAAAGTATATTTTTGAATAAAGAAATTAAACCCTATTTTACCACCAATAAAGTTTTCTTATAGTGACATTTTCTTAAATTTCTCATTAAGGTAGTGCAAAAAAAAAACTAAACTAATTCATATTATTTAAACTAAATATTATATTACTTAAAACATTATTATTTGAAGTATTTATGCACCGTGGTGGTATCTTGTATTTTATTATTTTTACTTTTTATGCTGATTTAAATGTATTACACTTTTCATTGAATTACAGTACTGAGACACATAATCATCAGTGAGAATAAATAAATCATGCATTTATCTAAAATTAATGAGAATTTGGAGTGAAAACGTGCAACAAAAATGCATCTGTATTAAAGGTCATAAAATAGGCTTAATGTTCTTCATGCAAAAAAAAAAAAGAAATAATAATAATAATAATAATATATATA